GGCTTCTAGGATCGCTTCAGAGCAAAGTGAGGCCTTCTCATCTAGCTACTTTCATTGGCCATTCCCATAAACAATTCTGGGTGCCTCTGGAGCTTAGAGACAGGAAGTGAAGACCACTGGGGAACACAGGTGGAAACCTTCGCCTTCAGTGCACAGACCCTGCTGCTGTGTTAGGACATTCATTCTATTCCTAATTTCACTTTAGCCTGGCCTGCTGAATTGAATGAAGTTGGCTTTCTATATTCTCTGCAAAGGATCTTTTATTTCTACCTGCATGAAAAGGGTTTTGGATGTCACGGAGACGAGCAGCCAGCTCTGTGTATGTGATCATTTCTGCAGTGCAGCTGGGATCTGTGTGCATCCCTTCAGAAGGTAGTAGTGCAAAGAGAGCAAAGGTGGCCCCTTTGGGTGAGAGAAGCAGGCCTTGCACACTTGCAGTGGAAATGCCTGCGCATGCATCGCTGTGATTCATTTCACACATGCAAAGCTGCACATATTCTCCTCTTTATATATAGCTTTTTAATGTTCCTGTATGATCCACTCTCAGCATATTGGTGTTCCTATGGCTTCTATTCCAAATAATTTTGAATGTCTTGTGTCTTTAGAACATTCAGTAAAATGTTATTAAAAGGCTGTTGCTGTTGTCTGTCTGCCACGCAGATCTGAATCTTAGGGGAACAGAGCTAAAGACAGAAATCCAGAATACCATGTTTCACAAATAGCCAGATACACGTGGCCACCTTACCACAAGGCAGAGCCAGTCCTGATGGTTACATGGACCAACTCTGAAGGGTGGCAAGGGAGAAAGGAACCAGATGCAACAGCAGATCTGGAGACAGCAGCTGGTGGGTGGGCAAGGAAGGCTTTTGTCACTTCTCATTGCCAGCCTGTGGTGCTTGGACATTACTTCACTGAACACAAATCTGGCTATCACTCGTCTATTCATATTTCTTTAAATGCAACTCACGACTGAACCAGAATTAAGCAGAATAGGAAGATAGTAAAAACACAGCATCAAAGTTAGGTCATTTTCTGCTGGTTTGAATGATATATAATGAGAGGAGGGGAGAGGGCTGTTCTGGTTTCCTAAATTGTTAATGCTTGGTTGGCAAAGGGTTTGAACCCTGATCGTTCTCTCTCTACAGTGCGTGGACAGAATCCACAGCTAGGAGCATCTCCCACTGGTGAACAAATATCTCTGTTGTAACATATTACACAATAATATTGTGTGGGGGGGGGGCATGAAGGAGAGCAGCAACGCTGGGCTTTAACATGGAGGTTCAGGGAATGATTTCATCTGTTTATTTTGCTGGAGAGGACCTGAGAGTCAATATGCTCTTGAAAACTCCCAGGTGATTCATGCCAAAGCAAACAGTCTACCTTGCATCCTTCCTCCATCATGACTGAACCACCCATTTGCCACGTTTGCACGTGATTTATTCAATTTTCTTTTCCAGGCCACAACCCAGGATAAAGTTAGGTGTCCGTTGGAATGGGAGAGATGAGATTTCTGTAACAGTGTGATAAATGAGGGCCTCTGGGTCCAGAAGCAGCTTCCACTCCATGCAAAGCGCATCTTCTTTTTACAGATGTGCTAGAGGCTGGTAGACATTTATTTATTACATTTGTATCCCAGCTTCTTTCATTTCAAAGAACTCAAGGCAGCTCGCATAATTCACCTCCTCTCAATCTTATCCTCACAACGACCCCGTGAGGTAGCTTGGGCTGAGTCTGAGATTGGCTCAAAGTCACCCACCGAGCTCTGTGGCCGAGTGGGGACTCGAACTCAGACCACCTGAGTGCCAGCCCCTGCTCTTAACCACTGCACTACCCTGGCTCACAGGACTCCAGGGCACAGACCTGACCTTGCTGCGCCTCTGGCATGCATAGCAACATCCTCCTCTTGGCTCTGCCCTCTTGCTATAAACTGGCTGGCTTCATCTCCCTTGCTTTTCCTGATGACAAACAGCTGAAATGTCCGGCCCTTTCCCTCCCTCCACCCCATCTGATAGCAGGGGAAGGTCACATCCTTGTATGAAAACAAGATCGCATCCTCGTTTCACCCTTCAAGTGAAACACTCCCATGAGTACCCATGTCCCAACAGCTTTTAAAAATAAATGGAGCCCATTCAGGAGGGGAATAAAAGTGGCGAACTGTTAAGGGAGGTATAGGCTGCATGTGTGAAAGAGAACTGGAATGTGGAAGAAGCAGAATAACAATCTGGGGAATCTTCTCCTTGGCAATTACAGTTCTATTTTCTCTATCTTGGTCAGCCAGCAATTTCACTAGCCAGGCTTGGGCTGGGAGTGGGTCCTCTGTAAGTGGCAGGAAGATATGAATAACTGTTATTTCTGTGGTTTAGAACCTCTGCCCATTTCACAGTATGAAAACTCTGCCACTAGAGAATTTGCTCAGGGGCAGACCAGGTGAGACCTCTATGGAGATTAGTTCCATGCATGTAGGGGAAGGAAAGGTCCTCAAAAGTTCTGAGGGGAGTTTCATCTCCATCTTCTCTACAAGGTGTACCTATAGCATAATTATGCCCATATATGGGATTATTCCAGGCTTTAAGAGCATTATGAGCAGATTGCAAAGCTCTGTGTCAGAACTGGATCCTGTTTGAGAACTAGGGAATTCTGGTGTGTTGGGTCACTGATAGGTTTGACTTGATCGATGTCAAAAATAATTGATCCACACTTTAAAAAATCAAAGTTAACATTGGTTCAGCAACAGATGCCAGAGTTAAAAGAGCTCAATGTCATCTCGTGTTTAATACAATGTATATTTATTGCAAACAATAATATACAAAAAAGGTAAATTTTACAGAGAACCAAAGGGATTTGCAAACAAAATGACCAAAACAAAAAACAAACACCTTACCTACAACTGATTTTTAAAAGGACAGGTCTTTTAAGTTACAGAAATACTTTAAAAAGATCTGCTTTTTTAATATAGGAATAGAAAAGATACCATATTATAAGAGTGCTTTAAGATTTTCTTCTACTGAATTCCCTACCAAACTGTTAACAAATATATCTTTCTTTTTAAATAAAAAGGTTGGCTATCTTTTTAAAAAAGCAATCCTTAACTGTTCAGCCACAGCCTCACCAATGTCCATTTCCTCCCCTACCTCCTTCCCCCAGATCAAGCAGTATGAAGAAGTGGAAGGGTAGCAAGGCACAGTCGGAGCTCATTCATCCGGTGCTGCTGCTCGGCAGCTCCCACTCCTTTCTGTGGGGCTTTCATGAGACTAGCAGAAACCCTATGAAAATGTGCAAGTCCCATGAAAAAGAAGGGGTCTTGCAGAGCAGCAGTGCTGGATGGATGCGCCCCCCACCCCGTTCCCTCGGAGGAACTGAGACCCATCCTGTGCACACAACAGAATGAGGCGGCGGAAATTTAGGTCGCATGTAGACGGTACCACTTTGCAAGTCAGGGGTGTCCCTTCTTGAGAGTTTCCCCTGCTGTAAAGAGTTTTCCCCTCCCTCCAATTACAAAAAGAAATCATAGGAGGCTTATTTGTTTTTAAACCTGGGGAGTGTTTTAAAATAGCTCCCCCTGTTTTTAGTGGTACAGTCTATTCCGCCCCATTATCTCCCCATTCTGCTGTGTGTGAAGATCTGGGCCCAAGTTGTAAGTACAGAAGAGCTGAGGGAGAAAACAGGGCAAATGACTCAGTGATCCACGACGCTTGCGATCTCCTGTTTGTACAATGAGAAAATGAGAAGAAGAGATTTTCCAGTTTATTCTTAAACAATAGAAAAACAAAACAAGCAGATGAATTTGTACAAACCTAAGACACATTCTGAAGGAACAGTAATAATAAAAATGCCCCCCACAAAAAAAGAACGAGATAGATAAATAAGGGGTTATTGATTTAGACCATAATTTAATGATTAGGCACCATATACCCTCTGAGCAAGACTGGCACTTCTGTTTACGTTACAAGAGCTTCTAACATGGAAGGGGGAAATGGAAGAAAATCTCTTGATTTAAAAACCTCTTTTTTCACAAAATAAATATATTTATATATATAATATTTTTTTTTAAAAAAGAACACCAATGCTGTCATCAATGAACCTTGCTGAAGTTGTTAATACCCACATCCACCTTGCAAATGGGTTTCTGGAGCACGGAATCTGCCAGGGTGGGGGCATTTCGACCATCAGCCTCTGCGTGACACGTGGGGCCCAGCGTCGGACGCTGCAGCAAGGGAGTCAATGAAGCAGATGCTGGTTTGTGGCTTTGTAGCCTGGTGCTGGTGGTTGCCAAGAATATATATTTTTAAACACTTCTGACCTGAAAAATGGAGCTCTCTTCTTTTAGACCCTCATCTTTTCCCTTGGCAGTGAGTGAAATAATTGTTCAAGTCTCTTGGAAGATATCACAGGGTTGTTCTTTAAGGCTTTTCATTAAGTGTTCCTTTAAGGCTCATGGTGTTGTTGTTTTTTCTTTAAGTTTTCCCCCCAAAAGACATCTCTTACTTCCAAGCTAGAAAAATAGAATCACTTCCCAGATCCCCATCATCCCATTAAGCACTGACCACGGGTTCCTGGGGAGCTGCCTTTGCTTCTTCTTTTTCTCTGACTTTATGCATTCAGTTTTGCTTTCTACAAGCGAAAGGAATTAGCTATACAAAAATACCTCTGACAGCAAGGAAAAAAGCTAAGGCATACTGTTTTGCTAAGTGTTGTTTAACTGTCAAAAGAAGAAAGGAACTTTAAAAAAGTTTTTCTAAAAACAAGTAAAATTACATAAAAACCCCTCAAATTGGTAACGAATCATACACAGTACATACTAAAAATATTAAAAATAGAGAATATTCCTCACAGAGGAATACTTTTGAGTTTTGCATTTTTTTATTTTTTTTCCATTTTAGTTATTGTTAAAAAATAATTACCGAGTCCATACCTAGGCAAACTAAGTTGGCTGTATGACGAAGATTCGTTTTTTTAAAGATCACCTTCAAATCAAGGTTTTGAAAGTCCATCATGGAATGCGTATCGACTGAGCAGAATGGTCGGGCCGGTTTCAGAAAGTTGCTGTAGTGCACAAGGCATCCTGCGATCGCTCTGTCCTCACTGCAGCTTTGTGAAAAACTGGCAAAGTCTGAGGAAATGGGACCGTCCCCGCCACACCTTAAGGCCGGGTGAGCTGTGTGTAGACGGGCTGCTCCCAGTGCTGGGGGCTGTGGGTCTGAGGGATGGAAGGCACCCCCGTCGTGTCTGCGATGGGCGTGTACATCGGCCGCTGGGTGGGGCTCATGTACGTGAAGGTGGAGTAGAGGCCGGCGCCCTGGCTGGCGGCGTGGCTGTAGTAGGAGCTGGAGCTCTGGTGGTCTGTGTAGTCGTACTGGGAGCGCGTGATGGTGGGGTAGGAGGAGCTGTAGTGCTGCAGGTTGAAGGAGCTGTAGCTGATCTGCTGCGGCGAGTGCTGCTGCTGCTCGCTGTAGTGGCTGGGGCTGAGCTGCTCCGTCTTGATGTGCGTCCTCTGCTGGGCCTGCCCGGGCTCGCTGCTCAGGGGGGCCAGGCTGTGGGGCTGGGGCTGCGGGGGCGGCTGCTGGGCCTGGCTCGGGGGCTGCTGGGAGGGGGGCGGCTGCGGGGCCTGTGGCGGCGGCGGCTGCTGCTGCTTGGACATCCAGACGTGGCCGGTGCCGGCCGGGGCAGCGGAGGTGCTGCTGATGCCGTAGCTGCCGGTGTACGTGACCTGGCCAGGCTGGCCGTGGGTGGCCGGCACACCGGGGTGGCCATTGGGGGGCAGGTACTGGTCAAACTCGTTGACGTCAAAAGTCTCGATGTTGGAGATGACGTCGCTGCTGAGCTCGCCGATGTCCACGTCTCGGAAGTCAATGTGGGGCGGCTGCCTCCCTCCTTCTTGCAGCGGGCGGCCTTCTCGCTTGAGGTCCTGCTTGCCAGGCTGGACATCTGTTTTGGGAGTAGTGGGAGGGGTGGGCGGGCCTTGAGATTGTCCTGTAGGGAAGACACAGCAAGCCACACACATGAGAGCAAGTGTGCCATATCTGATGCCCCTGAAGCCATCCCTTCCCAACTGAGATTGCTGCAGACAGAGGGCCGTAAAGCCCTGGAAATCTAGTGGCAGCCACCTTTAATAACCAAAAGGTGCTGTATTGCAGTGATAACTCCATTAATGGTTAACTCTGGCTGGAGCTGCGTGAAAGGAGAGGATGGAGGGCAGAGCAAGGAGTAGGAATTGCCGTTGAAGACAGTTGTGTAAATCAGTTGTTTTGCATCTATCTGAATCTGTGTGTGTGATCTGCCGGAGAGAGTGCTCTATCCAGAAGAGAGTAGTGTTTATTGTGAGATTTGTTTGGCAAGCAGCAAAATAGAATTTGAACCATTGACTTAGACCAGGAAGACTTTTTGAAGGTGCTCAGTGTACTGATACGAAGTGCTACAGCCTATGTATAGCTATTTGCCATTAAAAATGAGGTGGCTGTGATAAACAGTGATTTTGGGCACACATCATGCACATACACTTCTTAAAGCTCAGCCTTCTCCAAGCTGGTGCCCTCCTCTTGTACTGGACCGCAACTCCCACAATCCCCAGGCATAATTACCTGCCAGTCACTGACCATGCTGGCCCGAAATAATGAAATGCACAGCCCCTTACATAAGAGGGCACCAGGTTGGAGAAGGCAGTTTTAGCTGCCCATCTCTCTCTTACTCCCTGGTCTGCAGGATGCATCTTTGCTTTCTTTTGCAAGCCGAACCGTGAAGCATGGCACACTTACCAGAATGCTCTCCGGGGGAGTGCACTTCACTCATGCTGGAGGAAGACTGGGGAGAATCTGCCTGCAGGGCCTTGAAGATCGCGTTAGGGGAGATGTGGGTTTGCTCAGATCCTTCCTCTTGCTCGGCCTGCCCGTTCTTGACTGACTTTCTCCTTCGTGGCTGATACTTATAGTCGGGATGGTCTTTTTTGTGCTGTACCCTCAGCCGCTCAGCCTCTTCCACAAATGGGCGTTTCTCACTCTCATTCAACAACCTGAGCAAGACCACAGCAGGACAGAAAAGGACTGGGGGTTACCAACGAGTTCATACCAAAAGCTAAGACTTCTGAAATAGGATGCTCAGACCAGCTTTTCATTAAAAAGCTGTGCTTTTTGTACCCATCACCCCCCTAGGTGGCTGCTGCAGGCTGAGCATCTGTGCAAAGTGAGTTGCTGGCCACAGAAAGGTCACGATCCAGGCAAAAGTGCAAGTAGGACCATATGCCAAAATGCCAAAGAGCCTTAATAAACCTGGAGAGGATGGGTGGCAAAGCAGTCTTCAGATCTCCCTCCATCCCCACATCACCCTCCTCTCTAGCAGCTGATTGGAAACTTCCTCAGAGGCCTTTGAGCATCGCCAGGACAAGGACTTGTTATCCAGTCTTTCCGGGCACCCCTGCTTTTGTTCCTTTCCTGCACTGGTCCATCCTAATCAGCTGAAGCCCCCATGGGATCTCTTCTCATTCACCAAGAAACTAGTAGAATGTTTTGGCAGGTCAACAAAACTAAACAAAAAAGAGAGCTAGGGCATGGAATTGTTTCTGATCCCTTGATGGAAATTTGGTAAGTGCTGACTCTCACCCACCCCTTCCACATACCCAAAAGATTTGCAGAACACAGGCTCAGTAATGATTTTGGTAACTGACACCTTCCGTGTCTCCAGGCACCCACACAGACGGTCTGCACTTTTACTTCCAAACTCAGCCAAACCATTTCTCACTTTCAGAGGTAGTTTAAGTGCCCCCACCTTTTCCTTCCCAAGTCACAAGCTTATGCTTCAGCCGGGTGACTCAACCATGCTCCCCCCACCTCTGTTGCAAGTCATCCTTCCAATTTATGCCAATAATCATCACACCCAATGAGTGCCATTCGTGTTTTGCCCTGGAACAGGCCTTGATTTGTGCCAGGGCTCACCCTCTTGATTTGTTTTTCAGCAGCCCAGGAGTAAATGAAATAAATAACGAAGTGAAATTACCTCTGGGCATGTGCAAAGAGCCCTTCAGAGTAACCATGAGATTTTAGTCATTCATGGTGCATTTTATACATATCTACTCATTGAATTCAATTGAGCTTACTCTGAAAGAAGTGGGCATGGGCAGCAGCGTAAAATAAATAAAAATACTTCTTTCGGGTCTTCTGGAATGTCAGTTTCCTAGCCAGCTCGCTGTCAATTCCCCATTTTCTTTCTTTGTTCTTAAATCGAGAATACCACCCCCGCCCCCCTTCCTAGGGGCAGTCCCACCTTCAAGCTGCTCTGGTTCTCCCTCTTGGAGTCTCATGTCCTGAGGGTCACCTTCTGCAAACCCGGAGGCAACGTCTGCGGCAGGCTCCCCTGCCCTGCGCGGGGCCCGGGAACCCGGACAGCCGCCCCAAGCAGCAGGATCTCGACCTGCTCCACGCACTCGGCGGCCAGCCCCACGAGCTCGGCGGCACGTAGTGCAGTTGCGAGCTGCCGTGCGTAGGCTGGCCGCCCCACGCCGCAGCAGCTCGCCCCCGGCTGCCAGGCGCAGGCGCAGGCGCAGGCAGCCGGCCCCGAAGCCCGCCGCAGCGCTGCCCCGCGCAGCCACGACCGGGAGGGACCCCGGGCGCGGGTGGCGCCCGCGGGTGGCGCCCGCGGGGGACCCCGCCGCGATCGGCCCGCCGCTCCCCGCCCGCGCTGCTCTGTCCCGCACGCGTCCTCCCCCGGAGCCCCCCCCCCCCGCGCCCCGCCGGGCTTCTGCGCCGAGCTCCCCCGGAGCGCCGCGCCGCGCTGCGCGCACGCCGTTCCCCTGGCGGGTGGGGCGACTGTGGCTTGGCTTACCTCCAGAGCTTGCCCAGCGTCTTGCTCAGCTCCGCGTTGTGCAGGTGGGGGTACTGGTCCGCGAGCTTCCTCCGCGCGGCCTGAGCCCACACCATGAAGGCGTTCATGGGCCGCTTGACGTGGGGCTTGTTCTTGCTGGATCCATTGACGCGCACGGGCATGGGCACCAGGGTCCAGTCGTAACCCTTCAGGACCTGGCTGACAGCTTCTCGGATGCAAACCGGGAACTTGTCCTCGTCGCTCTCCTTCTTCAGGTCCTGGTCGCTTTTGGGGAAGGTGTTCTCTTGGGGTCGGGTGTTCTCCGCGTCCGAGCCAGACCCAGAAGGGCAGGGAGACCCCGCGGAGTCGTCCGACATGGTAGGGCTGGGAGCGCCAGACAGACACTTCTCCTGCTCTTCTGTCATCTTCATGAAGGGGTCGAGGAGATTCATGCGAGAAAGCGGCGGAGCAAAAATACTGGGGGGAAACGGAGCGCGAGGAGAGGGGGGCAGAGGGGTGGGGGAGGAGGAGAGACGGGGAGGGGTTAAAAATCGAGAGACGCAACCCCGCTTAATGCAGCACGAAAGCGGCAAGGCGGCGAGAGCGGCGAGGACGAGTCTGCCAAGGCCAGGCTACCTATCTATGGGTTGTCTGGCTTGCAGCAACTTGGAGGAAGGAAAGGCGCACTTGGGCGGCGGGCGCGTCGCGAAGCCGCTGCTGCTTTCTCGCTCTCAAGGAATGGACATGTGGGCCGGAGCGGGTCTGTTCGTGGGCGGCTGGCCCGGCGGCTATCGCGGCTGAATGGGGTCTATTTCTCACCCCTTTCGAAAGAAGACGAAAAGGTTCCTCGGCGTTTGGAGAAGACGGGGTGGGGTGGTGGGGGAAGCAGCAGCAGCAGCAGCAGCAGCAGAAGGAATAGTTTGTTTTTAAGGCTCCCAAAATCACCGTGTCAGTTTCAAGCTCAGCTCTCCTAACTCTGTCTCTCTGGGTCTCTTTAATAAATACTCTCCTCTGCCTTAGAAACTTTCGACCAATGGCAGCCCTTTCTCTGGAAGGCTGGCACACCGTTGATTGGCTGAAAGGGCTCTCCCCCTTCCCTCTTGGAAGGGGGGCAATCCGCGCACAGCGAAGGGGGTTGGGGGGCAGAAGGAGCGGAGAGGGAGGGAAAAAGAGAAAGTTCCTCGCGCGCCGCAGTTGCGTCTTTGTATTTCCAAACTCTTGTGATCCCAGCCTCCGAGTAAATGTCTCCTTTCCCTTTCTACTACTTGATCTAGGCAGATTTCGGTTGCTACTTTTCGAATGAAGAAAGGGCATGAAACCTTCTCTAGCAGAGACGTCACTCCGGGTAAAATTGCACAGTGAATCCTGCCCCCCCCCCCCACCACCACTTGGTCTCAGACGGAACTTAGCGCTTCTCTGGGTCTCTTCTCCTCCGCCCCCCCCCCGCGCTTTCAAGTCAGTGATTTTGTGACTCACCTCTCTAATGGGAGGGTTTTGTTTTGATTTTGCTCGTCCTAATGCTTTATCCATGCTTAAAAGTTTCAGGAAGAAGGCAACGCTTGACTTTTCAGCGCTGGGCTGAGATTCACAGAAGGGTGAGGGAAGGCGGGGTCGGATCCCTGGTTTGTTTTAAGTGACCTGGTTTGTTTTCAGTAACTTGGCATTTTCCTAGACGGTGCAGTTAGGACAACTTTTGATTATTCCTTATCGTTTAACCCTCTCTCTTTTCTAACTTCCTTCCTTCCTTCCCCTTCCTTCCTTCCAAATGACAGCTAGACCCTCTCCCAAAATAGAATACCTGTTCTAGAATGGTATGCCTAGAATACTCTGCAAGAGGAACGTGGATACCCACATTTTCCTTTCAGGTGGTCACAACTTAAAACTGCCAAAATCAAAGTCGATAGAGATGTTAAACTTAGAATTCTCTTCACGCTTCACTTGCGAGTAAGTTCTCTTGAAAAACTGGTTTCTTGGGAAGGCATTTACCTTCCTATTGAACCAGAGCAGGACTCGCGCTGCACACCTTTCAAAGGAGGAATCCACAGGAATGCGAGTCAGTTGTACGACCAAGTGCCCAGGTAGATGATGCAGAGGTACAGTGTGCCTTCCCCTAACTGCGGGCCTTTATTATAAAAACATAACCTGAACTTCCATGCCGGGTGCATTGACAAATTATAGCAAAGCCAGTATCTCAAGGAGACAGAGGGGATGTAACATATACCAGTCCCCCCCTAACTGTTCTCACTTCCGAGAAAGATAGCAACTTTTCTTGTTTATTATTAGAGGGACGAGCAAAATGCCTGCTGTGAGTGGTCAGATTTCGGGGAGCGGGGGTGAGCTGGCAGTTTAATTTTACTCTAAATCAGATCTTAGTTTTCGTGAGCTCAGGCCTTTTGTTAAACTTATTGCCCGGGCAGCGTCTCCAAACTCTTTCGCCCCCGTTCCCCCCGCCCCCGTTCCCTTCTCTGAAAGTAGGTGAGACGGGGGGGGGGGTGGAATATGCCAAGGAATATAACGCTGGATTTGAATGCACTGCCAACGTGATGCTCGCTGGCGGAGCCGCACGAGTGGACTGCCTAGTTCAAACGGGAAAGCAAAGAATTAAGGCATCCCTTGTGATTGATTAGCCTTTTCATAATCTTCACGTTCATCTGGGCTGGAGACAGAATGCGTGCGTGCCGCACGCACGCGCACCGTCTCTCCTAGCAATTTGGGAGCCGGTCAGCGGTGGGCGCTTCCGGGGCATTGTAAACTCTTTAAATTATTAGCTGTCATGTTGTCTTGCAGAGGAGGACAGACGCCTTTCCATGGCTTGGCGTTCCGTGCCTTTTTCCACTCTCCTTTCAGTCTCGTTTCTTGGCACTTTTTACAGTTACTTCTATATAAACAAATCACCTTTGGTGCAGATAACGTGTAATGCTCATTTTTATCCAGAGGGGGCGCCATAGGCTCAGAAACTAAGCCCGAAGCTTTCCAGACCAGTCAGACGTTTCTTCGAGCTAGTTAAAACACACGCGCGCACGCACGTACACTTTCACGCACAGCCTTCGCCCCCCGCCCACACACACCCACGCACGGATTCGTTTCTGGGGATTTGACTGAACGGGGCTTCCGTCAGTATATGACCCCTAAACACACGCGCGCGCGTTTCTTCCCCATCCTTCACGATCCCACAGTAAAGTTTAGCACTCAGATGAAATTGCTTCCAAGTCAATAAAACTGATCAAGATATCAAAGGGGGGTGGCGGATTTTCATTTTACTGTAAGGCTGTTTGAATGCATCTCTCCTCGCCCACCTCCCGGCAATTCTGATCATGCCAAGGGATAGTTTCCTGCTGCACCTCTCCCCCGCCCCCATCCATAAAAGTAAAATAAAATAAAGATGGGGGGGGGATCAACCCTGCTAACCTAGCTCGTTGCACGCAGGACACGCTTGCCCAAGGAGACACAGGGTGTGCTCTGCCCCGCTGAAAGTCCAAGACTGCAGCTCTCTGCACGCTTACCTCTGCAATCAATGAGATCTGATTTTGAACATACATGCTCGGGATTGCACGGTTAGCATGCACCCCTTGCTGAAATTTAGAAATAAGCTCCATTGACCTCGGAGGGGCTTGCTTCCCAGCCCAGGTAGGGAAGGGGTAGGAGGGCAAGAGCCCCGCCAGGCAAGTAGCTGCCCGCTTACTGGATGCCCTGTGGTGACTTGAAGGAAAGGCACTTGGCACGCGCTCCCCCCGCCTCCGCCACGCGTTTTACCCCTTCTCTGTCCCCCCCTCCCCCTCTTGCCCGCTTGATGCCACCCCTTGCTTCCCAGGACAGATGGATAGGATCGGGCTGCACATGTGTTTTGAGGTTCGAGGGAAAGGGAATATATACACGCATTTTCCCAGGAATCCTGGTAGGGCTTGATCGCGGCTATTGCGTTGCTGCCTTTAGGCGAGAGAGCTGCATGTGTTTGCACTTAGCTTCTTCCCTCGTGCGCCGCGGATTCTCCTGGCCTGAACCGGGCAGGCACGCGGCTTGTCCAGGGGCTCTGCCCGCTTCCCGCGGGACTGATGTTCAATGCTCGGGAGGATGGGCCTTGCGATGCTGAGGCTGACTTGGCCCTGGTCTGTCAGATCCTCTCAGCAGCGAGACCCAGCTCAGAGGCGGTCTTTTTTCACTGAGGCAGCTCTCAAGGTGTCACTTCTGAAAGATGCGTCAGAGAAATTCATAATCATACTGATTTCAACCCGTGCGCCCTTTCTGTCAGTTTCGGCTGCCTTTTGATTCGTCTCCTGCTCTCCACTTAGTGTTGGAGATGGGGAAGAGTTGACCTAGACACGGAGGGAAAAGCTTCTAAGATCGGCCCTTGTTTTCCCAGCCGGATTGGCAGGAAGTCCGCCACCCTATGCCCACTGGACCCGGGACTCAGCTAGGCTTGCTCCTAAGTAGACAGATCTGGGCTTGCCCTGCGAGGGATCGAGCCCTGTCGTCTTCCTCGTTATCGGGGCCTTCCTAGCGAAACCTTAGCGCAGCCCTCCCGACCCTGCATCCCGGTTCCATCTCTGGAAACCTTGTTTCTTCTTTTCCTCCCTCGGCCCAATCGCGCAGCTAAGCAATTCTCAGCGGGCTGTCGTTTTCTGGGAGAAAGAGAGCCTTTATCTTTTAAAGGCATGTTCGCTTTCAGTATTAGATAAGAAATTATACATGCAATAAACGTGAAAGGCAACAGGTCCAGGACATATTTGTGAGACCTCTTTTCTTTTGCTGGCTTCCCAAAATCTTTCGGGATAGTTAACACTGGGAAAGGTTCAGAGAGAAACGCGTCATTTAGGGGGGGAAATGGGAGAGCGAGACTTATCAGAAACAACTCGATAGGGTAGCGAATGTTTTACGGAAGATAAAAGAGTCTTACCCTTTGCAACACTTAACAGTACATTTCACTCCCTTAGAGAGAAACAAACGAATTATTTTGCACAATATGTACCGGGAGTGTTTTTGTTTGCTTGTTGTTAAAACCTCCATCCAAATGTTGAGCGGGATATGGGAAGGCAAACCTTCTTCTTCATAAAGGATTTTTGGACAAAGCATTTTCTTTAGACGAGAAGTTGGCTTGTTTCTGTGCTAAACTTCCGGGCAGCGTGTTCACTTATATGGGGGGGGGGGTTACTATTTCCCACCCTGGCTGGGGGAGCAACGACGGACAACTTTCTAGATCGGTCCATTGATCAGTGGACTTCTCGGCTTTACGGGCGAGGGGCAGAAATACGAAACAACCACCGACTTGTTATTGGGGAAAACGAATGAAACCCGGCCGGCTATCGCAGCGTGTTTTCGTCCTGAAAAATCATTTGCCTAAAGGAGTGGGGGAGTCCCTTCTCGACCTTTTCCTGAAATAAAAGACAGGCATTTCACATGGCGGTATCGCGGCAGCGCTACTAGGATCAGTGCACGAGGTTCGTGTCCATCTCTGTTTCTGCTCGGGGTCGACCCCGGAGAGAACAACCTCAGCACCCTTCTACGGTTCATGTTTCGGGTTCTTTTATTAAATTCGCTTTACACACACACGCAAATCTTACCCCCCCCCCCCGGTTCCCGGAATGATGCGCGCAGAACAGCAAGCATTTGGGGAGGAGGGCGAGGCGAGGCGAGGGGGCGGGGGCTGCCCGGCGGCGCGCCTGCCGTTCCTTTGGAGGGCTTCCCGTTGCGCCCATCCGGGCCAGCCGAGGAGGACTGGGAGCCCCGGAGCAGGACTGGGAGCCCCTGGGACTCTCCAGGGCGGGCGGGCGGGCGGTTCCGGTCCCAGAGCCCGGCGGCGGCGGCAGCCTCTCCATCGCCGGGCGGTTGCGCTCGGGGCAGCCTCTTGAGAAGACGCCCGGGCAGCGGCGCGCCCCGGGCTCCTGCGACGACCCGCTCCTCGCTCTCCTTGGTGTGCGTGTGTGTTGTTTGGATTTGTTTTCGTTTCCTGCAAAGCGCAGGGCTTTCTAAAG